TGTGTGTGCGTGTGTTTCTTTGTGTGTGTGTGTGTGTGTGTGTGTGTGTGTGTGTGTGTGTGTGTGTGTGTGTGTGTGTGTGTGTGTGTGTGTGTGTGTGTGTGTGTGTGTGGTGAAAATCCTTACTTTGGCTTCTTATGTTGTTTTGGAGAACTGTTGCATTGGATCCTCGTGGTTTTTTCTCTGCAGATACTCCAAATGCAGTTACTACCCCGAAACCATCAGGTGTGTACTTTGTTTGTTGTTACTGTTGTTGTTGTTGTTGTTGTTGTTGTTGTTGTTGTTGTTGTTGTTGTTGATGATGATGAAGATAATCATGATGATGGTATTGATGATGATGATGATGATTTTTGTGCTGTGGTAAAACCATAAGTAATGAATTTTGGAGTACTGCCAATTAATAAGGTCACAGGCCAGATGATAAAACTAGACAAAATCTAGTTTTCTGTCTTGACAGACGTGGTCACTGGCTAGTCGATAAACCTAGACATCTATTTTTCAGTATTAACAAAAGTGGGAAAACTAGATGTTATATTGTTGTGTGTTGACAGACTTGGTAAAACAAGACATGGTCCTTGTTTGTGTAAAACTAGACATAGTCATCGTTTGTATGAACTAGACATAGTCTATTTTTGTGTATAACTGGACATAATCTATGTTACGTATAAGTAGACATGGTCTCTGTTTCTTATAACTGGACATAGTCTATGTTTGTGTATAACAAGATATACTTTATTTTTTTTCGAATAACTAGACATGGTCTATTTCTGTGTATAACTATAGTCTATGTGTGTGTATAAACTGACATAATCTATTTTACAAATGACTAGACATGGTCTATTTCTGTTCGTTGACAGACGTGGTCACGGGCCAGGTGGTGATCACGGCCCACGCACCGCGACCTAGACGTCCCCAGACCTGGTCCTACTTCGCCACCCCAAAGACGTGGGCCGAGGCGAAGGTCAAGTGTCAGAACCTCGGGGTCAATCTGATTCAAACCCAGAGCAGTGACCTTGGTGACGTCAGCAGCTACGTGCCTGAGGGCTCGAGTGTCTGGACAGGTGTGTGTGGGGGGCGACACCATCAGAGCTTAGTTGGTCGCTTTTAAGCACAAGGGGGCTATCCCGAAAAATGGGGTTTTGAGAAAATCGAAGGTAAAGATTTTTGCCCCTTTGCTCAGTTTCTTTAAAAGACAAGGAGAGTTTTCTCTATAACCAAAGAAATGGTCGCTTTTAAGCACAAGAGGGCCACCCCGAATAATGCTGTTTTGAGAAAATCGAAGGTAAAGTTTTTGGATCCGTATTCCGTTTCTTTAAAAGACAAGGAGAGTTTTCTCTATAAACAAGCAAATATACACCCCAATGAAACCAAACTTCTCCTATAGGTAGGGCAATGTCCACTTTTGGTGTAGGTCAAGATTTCTGGAAACGCCCGAAATCTGGGCTAGCCCGCTTGTTCTTAAAAGCGACCAGTTTTAGTTATAAATTTTAGTAGGGTTTTACGGCGCTCGCAACTGCATAATATAAGGTCATATGAGCGCAAATGGGTGGATGTCAACAGAGAAGTCAGGCTTACTCTGTTCACCTCTCTAGCTTCAACAGCACAAAATCTGCTTTGACTATCAAGGAACCCTGGTAATAGCAGTTCACAAGAGAGTGACAAATATACAAAAGAAGTAGAGGAAAATTGACGATAGTAAGGATGAGGAAAGAAAAAGCAGCAGTTTCTCCTATGTTGTTCCAGCACAGTATGAGCATAACATTGATAAATCAGCCCATTTACAATTCTACTGTGCATAAGAATACGTTAATATCCCCCCTTTGGGAATAGCCTAGAGTGGACTGGTGAGGAGTTAGGATTCGTTAACGACGAGCTAGCAATAGCAATTATTATTATTATTATTTTTGCGCCTTGTCTTTTCTTGTATCACTCTTACCTTCTGTATCTTTTAACTCTAATGACTGTCGTTGATCTCAGTAGTAATAATTAATTTTATTAAGGCCATTGGCCTTTACGGTAAATTGTGAATAACGTTGTTAAAATGTTAAATGTTATTTTAAACCAGGGAATTTTTTTAACACCAATTTTTAACATTTTAGCATTTTAATAGAAATATTGACCAAAATCAAACCGTCCAGTGAACTGTTGTGAATGCAATCAACTTGTTTTGCGCGCTCATATGACCTCATGCAGTTGCGAGCGCCGTAAATCTTTCACTAAACTGAATTAATCTTCAATGCAATAGACCTATTGCCTTACTATCACATATCATTATGTCAGGCACTGTGGTAAAACAGGCACCCGTCGAAATAAAGAAATCAATTAAACCGAAATTTTTACGCTCGTTGAGCAATTTCTATTAAGAAAAAAAATAGCCCAATACCTTTAATGGACATTAAAAATTCTGTGTGGAACTTAACAAAACATAATCAAAGGCACCAAAAAAATGTAGATTTGTAGTTTTCAAAGATATGGAAGCCACTTAATTAAGTTTGGTGGCCATTTTCTCATCTCGCTAATTTTAGTTCTGACACCAGGCGTCGGTCTTCTACCTCTCTCACACGCAAATGTCACGACTTCTGTTCAAGATAAAAAAAAGATTTTCATAAAAAACCCAAGACATTTAATTTCGAACAAGCTGTATGATGATACCAATGACTCCTTATGGCCCCACACAAATTGACGAGTTCCTGATTCCGCCATGACGTGACACATACTATGTGAGGCAGCGTTGTGGAATCAAGCTCTCGTCAATTTTTGGGCATGTAGAGTTATTGGTATAATCTTAAAGGTTGTTCACTTGTGTTTATTTGGATGAAAAAAATATCCATTTATCTTAAATACGAGTCGAGATATTTGCGAAAGAAAGAGGTGGGGGTCACCTGTTTTCAGAGCTAAAATTAGTGAGAAAATGGCCGCCAAAGTTTAGTTATTTCTTTAGCTCAGGAGTCCGTGGTAACTGAAAATTTACATTTTTTGTGCCTTTAATCACCGTTTTTCAGAAAAATTCACACAGAGATGAGGTCTTAAATGGACATGAAAGGTGTTGAGTTAAAAAACAAAAATTAGATAAAAATTCACAAACCTACGAAAAAATGCAAGTTTCTACACTTTGATTATTTTGACGAGCGCCTGATTCCACCACGCTGCCTCACATATTATGCCTTTTGTAATTTTTCGATGTCCTCTTTCAAGTCGTTCAACAGATATGCGAGCAATTTAGAAGTAAAAATAAAACAAAAACAAAAACGTTTGAATTTATGTCACTTCACAGTGAATATCAGACGCTCGTCAACTTTTGGGCCATATGAAGGAAGTTACTGGTATTATCTTTAAGCCTGTTCATTTATATTTGAGGAGTCAACTGAAAGAAAAAAACCGGGTACAGGCACAAAATGGAAATTGTGAGGGTGTCAATTTTAAAAGCTTGTGGGCTCATAGCTTCATATTTGTTTGATTAGTGGTTTATCTTATATGTTTGTTGGATGGAAAATCTAACAAAAATAATCAACAAACAGTTAAACAAAAATACAGTTATGAGTCAACATGTGTTCAAAATTGATACCTTCACGATTTTCAGTTTGTGACTATGCCCGTTTTTTGTGGGTTTTTTCACAGTGGACTCCTCATTTCAATTTTTAATTTCCTGGTTTTCAGCTTCGGATCTAAAGTTGGAGGCGTTTGACGAGAGGGTGAGCGATAAAGGTAGAGACTGTGTCGCCATTGTGAGAGACGCTCATGGATTGGCCAAACTACAACTGGAGGACTGTGACAAGGCCAAACCTTTCCTCTGTGGTAGGTGCAGCACCATACAGACCATTTTTTCATTGAAAAAAACAAGACATTTGATTTTGAACAGGCTGTATGATGATACCAATTTGAATAACTCCATATTATCATTAATTAACACTCTGACCTAATTCCATTTCCAGTACCATGTCTGATGGGGCAATTAGCGATTTGTTTACGTAGCCTGCCCATTTTTTAAACACGAGTTCAGTAGGCTAAATGTGAGATATCGTGGTGAAATCAGGCGCTCGTGAAACTAATGACATCGAAGAAACCGGTTATTTTCGGCCAGTTTGACAATTTTTATTGCATTTTTGGTTTATGGCTCAACACTTTATTAGTCTAATAAAAAAAAACACATTTTAGTTTGGATTTTTACAGAGAAATGTTGATTAAAGACACAAAAGTTGCAAATTATATATTTCCAGAGACTCTCAAGCTATGGAAGTTATCAAACTTTGGCAGCCATTTTCTCGCTAATTTTTATCTCTGAAACCAGTCGATCCCCACTTCCTTCACTCAAAAATATCTCGACTTCTATTCAAGAGAGATGGGTATTTCTTTCACTAAAAGCAATACAAATGAAAAAGCTTTAAGTTGATACCAATAAGTCCATATTTATGGCCAAAAATTGTCGAGCACCTTATACCACCTTGTCGTGACACAAGTAGATGGACAGATATTGCTACAGTACATACAATACATCAGTCAATTTTACTGCGTAGATCTAGATCATAATATGCCTATCCAAAGTCTGTACTCTATGACTTAAACATCTCGCTCTTTATCTAACTTGTTAAAATGTTTTACCATCAAGGTCACACAGTAGTTTATCAAGCCGGGCTGTGTTGGACACTATATCCTAGTAGAAAGACGGATGTATTAATAATATTGATATATTTACGAGATCTGCTTGTGCTTAGACTATTTATTCTTTTCCCAGGTTGACAAGAGCGAAGGACGAGCAGAGACAGATGTAAACAGTTATCTAATCAATTCTAGAAAATATGAATTTGAAACGTTGTGACAGGAAGAAAAAGTCTGATAAAAATAATGATTAAAGATTTTGCCATGACAAAAAAAGACTGTTCGTGTTCATTTATTTATTTATTTATTTATTTATTTATTTATTTATTTATTTATTTATTTATTTTCTTTTTTTGGGAGGGGGGGGGTCAAAGTACGTCTTTAGAGTTGTCATAACTTATGTTCTGGGTTACATCTCTCTCTCTCTCTCTCTCTCTCTCTCTCTCTCTCTCTCTCTCTCTCTCTCCCTCTCTCTCTCTCTCTCTCTCTCTCTCTCTATCTATCTCTCTCTCTATCTCTCTCTCTCTCTCTCTCTCTTTCTTTCTCTCTCTCTCTGTGTCTATATATATATATATATATATATATATATATATATATATCTTGCCCTTTTTAACTCCCAGTGGAGCATAGGGCATCAACAACATTTCTTCAGCCTGTGCATCCTTTTCTAGCTGTTTCCATGATGTCCTCGCCTTTTCCATTTCCGCTTTCACCGTTCGCCTCCATGTCGTCTTTTGTCTTCCTTTCTTACGTTTTCCTTGTGGATTCCACGTAAAAGCCTGTCTCAGGGTGTGTCCAACCCATTTCCATTTCTTCACCTGTATGTCTTCCTTTACTGGCCTTTGGCTTGTTCTTTCCCACAGTTGAGCATTTAAGACTCCATTGTACCACTTGATCCCCGCTATCCTGGGTTACATAGTGAATGGCAATCAGTGAGTGCTGACCAGTTTTGAAGAAATAAATCTTCATCGATGCTTCGAAGTGTGAGGTCACTATCCATGCTATTCGAATAGCGCCTGGTTTGGGTGTATGATCTTATAACCATGTTGGTATTTTTTCATGCCTGTACGTCCCAATCAACACAATTTAGGTCTTTTAGGAGGCTGGCTTCCTACCCTACCAATCACGGCCAAACCGGGTTGTGAGGATACGATATCCCAGTAGAGAGACCGAGATACTCGGTGATAATGTCCCCCCCCCCACTCGGAATCAAACTCGCGTTTCCTGTAATGATGATGATGATGAAAATAATAATAATCATGAAAAAAATAACAATGATGATAACATTATAATTATCATTTTTTATTTTTAAATAATATTATTATTATTATTGTTGTTATAGTTATTGTTATTATTATTAATAATATTATGGTTGTTGTTGTTGTTGTTGTTGTTAGCGATCCAGTAGCATCTGAGCGTTAACTCTTCTGCATGATGCCATTCCGTAATAGTTGCATGTTTGTTCTAATTGTTGTCTTGAGGAGTAGAGGCAATTAGATGTGTGGGGGTGGCTTGGGAAGAAAACATCCCCTTAAACCAGTTAGTTTTCTACAGAATAACAGTTGATGTTCCACTGTCTCTGAGGGGTAGTCACATAGTGGGCAGGCAGCAGACTGCTTTACTCCAATTCGGTTTAGGTGTTGGTTGAGGGGTACATGTTGTGTTGTAAGTTGGAAGATTATGGATTGATCTCCCCTCTTCAACTCATTGATTGGATCTTTGACCAGTGGTTTATTCATGTGGCCATACATCCTTCTTCCTGTCGTACCTGTGGCCCAACCATTCATCCACTCTTCCTTGAGGTTTGACTTGATCATTTGGCAGCAGGTGGTGTAATTCGTAGGAATTTCAGGCTGAGGGAGACTAGCTCCTGTCTTTGCCAGAGCCTCAGCTCTTTCATTTCCCGGTATCCCAGTGTGGGCAGGAATCCATTGTAGGACTACTCTGACGTGGTGCCTACTTATCAAATTATGTAGACTCCAAATCAAGTGCAATGTATCTTTGTTCACATCAGTCCCACTCTCAAGTGTCTCTAGTGTTGAAAGGCTGTCTGTAAAGATAACGATATCTGTTATGGTTAATAATAATAATATTATTATTATCACCATTATTATTACTATTATTACTATTATTATTAATGTTATTGATTAATATTATCATCATTATTATTATTATCATTATTGTTATTATTGTTGTTGTTGTTGTTGTTGTTATTATTATTATTATTATTATTATTATTATTATTATTATTATTATTATTATTATTATTATTGTTGTTGTTGTTGTTGTTGTTGTTATTATTATTATTATTATTATTATTATTATTATTATTATTATTATTATTATTATTATTATTATTATTGTTGTTGTTATTATTATTATTATTATCATTTTTATTATCATTATTATTATTATTATTATTTATTTATTTATTTAAAAAATTTTTTTTAAAACTTAATTTATACAAAGCATAAATCCGTACTCCACAGCCTGTCGAATACGCTTTACAACATCAATAAAGACAAATGTGTAGCTGGTCCTATTCTGGTTTCAACGTCATTCATTATTCGCTGGTGCTGAAGTAATTTTAATTTACTTTCTGGTCATATTGTTACCTTGGTTGTTGAGAAGACAAGCAAACCTTTTTTTTTTTTGTTCTTGTTTGGTGTGTCGCCTGTCGTATAGTTATGTTGTTTTTCAATAACATTATTGTTTTGTTTGGTGTTGGGGTTTTTTTGTGTGCTCTGAACCCCCCCCCCCCCCTCCCCTCTCCTCTCTCCATCTTTCTTGTACCTGCCCTTTTCTTTGGCGGGTGCTCTGGTGCGAGCTGCTCCTTTTGTTTGTTTTAGTAGAGGTTTTACGGCGCTCGCAACTGCATAAGGTCATATGAGCGCCGAAAGGACATATGAGCGCCGAGAGCTCCTTCTTTCCTATCAAACATCTATCGTCCTTATCTCTGACCTCCTTCTTTTTTGTGTATGTTACTCTCTTGTAACACCTCTAATCTTCGGCACCTATGTGATCTATTGTGTTGCAAGTGCCGTAAAACACTTACTAAAACAAATCTGATTTCTGGTTGTAGGCTCTCGCGGCTATATCATTATTATTGTCTGGTTGCTGTCTTGTTATCAGCCAAAGTCCTTTAATTCGTCGTTTGTTTGTCTATGTAGTGTACGCAGGTAGGTCTAGTTTAGCCAGCTTGTACTCTGATAGTCGGTGGCCTAGTGGTCAGGCTACCGGACTCGTAATCATGAGGTTGCGGGTACGGGGGTTCGAGCGGTGGGCCCGACGTTGTGTCCTTGGGAAAGACACTTTACATGAATTTTCTGGCTAGCAAACCACCCCGCCCCTCCCCGACCGGATTCCCTCAATGGGCGTCCCGTATAACGCACGATACAAAACATAAATTTAACATACAAAACAAAACATGAATTTAACACATGGGACAAAACATGAATTTAACATACATAAATATAGTACAAAACATACGTTTAAAATATGGGACGAAACATACATTCAACATACATAAATGGTACAAAACATACATTTAACACTTGAGACAAGACATAACTTCAACATACATAAATATGGTACAAAACATACATTTAACATATTGGACGAAACATAGATTCAACTTACATAAATATGGTACAAAACATAAATTTAACACATATGAGACGGTAGCAACAATTGCTCACAAGAGATTTTCTTCAAATCTAACGTTTATTCAGCACTGCTTACTTCACATCAGCGAAATAGAAACAAAATACAACACCGTTTCTCACAACCTTATAATTAAACCTTCAATCATACTACAACCAGATATCCAATTTTAGGAACCGTAACCAAATTATTTCCGGTTGATGGAACCAAAACTGGATTCTTGGGGGGATTTCATCTTAGAATCACTTGCTGATTTGGTCGTTGTTGGTTATAACAGGGAGTAAAGTTTTCTCTCTTTCTCCTCTATCGGACTTGGGCCTCTGTAGACTGTTCACGAAACTATCTCGTTAACCTGGGGAGAGACGGTAGGACAACACATTATTATAGATTTTAAGAAAAGCTTCTTCTTCTTCTTCTTCTTCTTCTTCTTCTTCTTCTTCTTCTTCTTCTTCT